CCGCATTTCAGTTTTTAAACTTGAAATCAAGGGGGTAATAGCGCATATCAATTTTATTTTTGAATTTCGTTTAATGGTCAATCCATACTCATTTAATTGTTTTGGCTTGAATTCCATCCCATGACATCAAGAATCAATGTCATGGAATGACCCAAAGAGTCTTCGGTGTTCCGTTTGAAAATTGACAGTTCGACCCGTCCTAGCCCTCCATGTAAACCCTCTACTCGACCCCGAACCCACCCACCCACCACCTTCAATTTTGTCTCCAAAATCAACTAAGGGGCTGTTTGTTTCAGCCTCTTAATGGTTCAGATGTCTGAATGGTTCAGCACTTAATGGTTCAGACTGTTTGTTTCAGCCTCTTAATGGTTCAGATGTCTGAATGGTTAAGAGATTTGCCTCTGAATGATTAAGTATTATACAGAGTCTGAATGGTTAAGACCTTTTATCTGAATTGATCAGACATTTGCCTCTGAATAGTTAAGCAATATACTAGCTCTTAATGGTTCAGACCTCTTACTGGTTCAGCACTTAATGATTCAGACCTCTTACTGGTTCAGCACTTACTCCTTCAGAAGTTACCAAACAGCCCCTAAATTTTGTGGAGTGCAATTGAAGGTGGTGGGGGTAGATTCGGAGTCGGGGTGAGAGGTTTACCAAGAGAGTTAAGAGGGGTGTAAATCATCAATTTTTTCGAACAGAGCACTCTACGTGCCCCAATTAGAGCTAAGTCCTCCTTAATTGTTTAGTTAACATTTAAAAATTCACATACTTAACACTCCAAGGTGAGTTATCAGACAACAGTGTAAAAACTAAAAGGTCAAAATATATGGTTTGCCACATGTTCCACCCACCCACCACCTTCAATTTTGTCTCCAAAATCAACTAAATTTTGTGGAGTGCAATTGAAGGTGGTGTGGGGTGGATTCGGAGTCGGACATGGGTGAGAGGTTTATCAAGAGAGTTAAGAGGGGTATGAATCGTCAATTTTTTCAAACAGAGCACTCTAGGTGCCCCAATAAGAGCTAAGTCCTCATTAATTGTTTAGTTAACATTTAAAAATTCACATACTTAACACTTCAAGGGTAGTTAGCAGACAATAGTGTAAAAATTAAAAGGTCAAAATATATGGTGTGCCACATGTTGATGATAGGAGATGTAGCGATTTTGAAGAGTTTCGAAAGATAAGTATAAAATTACACGTTTTACACTTCCTTACAAATTCTTCAAAATTGCTACATATACTTTTAGCGACAAATAGCACCCAATAGTCATGACTTATGCTCTTGTGCTGGCTATTTATTAAGAAGAGAACATGTTGCTGCGAAGGCGATGTGGGAGAGGACGCAATATAATACTCAAACGGAAACGAACAGCCAAATAGCTACTCCACATAATAATCATTCAATTCCTTCATTCTCCCTCCCTATTTCATTTCATTGTAGCAATTTGAGTCTTATTAACGAAACCTTTCTTTTTTCTTTTTTCATCTGTTCTAAAAAACTTTTCTCATTTATTTTCAAAAGTCAATTTTATCTCTACTAATTCTTAACCTACCTATCACATCACACTTTTTCACTATTAATCTAACTATTATATCAACTTTTACCCACCACATTCAAGGGCATTTTTGGAAAGTCAACACCAAAATACGTCTTCTTTGAATCCTTTAAAAGTGAAAACTAGAAATATTTTGTGGGACAGAAGGAGTAATTTTCTTTCTTTAAAGCTTGGCCAAGTGCTCAATTGTTAATTTACAATTTTAAGGTATTAAAAAAAAGACTAATCGAGAAAATGTTGATCAAATAATGTGTTTTTTTAATAGTCGTAATACTACTCATTTTCGCCCACCGTTTAGATAGATTTCGTTAAACAGACTATCTCGATTTCAATTTTTAGCTATTTGAATTAATTTGATTCAACGCAATAAACGGGGACCAAATTGCTCCACTCAGCCACTCAATGCATAATATTTTGTTAAAATGAATTTTATTAGAAAGAGAATATTCCATAAATGATCCTCAAATACAGATAATTTTCTCACTTTTAATCCTCAATTCTTACTTATTCCATAAATGATCATCAATTTTAGAAAACTATTTCATAAATATTCCTTTAGACCACCAAATATGAGAAAATATTTGTGTTGGACAATGTGCTATCATGAATATATATTTTTGCAATGTCTTTTGCCCATTGTCTTTTAGGTTTTGATAATGACAAAAGGGTGATAAAACATCATCATCATATTGTGCATCAAGGCTAAGAATCAAAGCTACAACAAGTTCATATCCGTCCGTGAAGAAGGGACTTGAGCATCAGTGGAAGGAACGAGACCGAAGAGGTTGTTTCCTTAGTTGGGTAGTGTTTTAGGTCTTAGATTATGTGTTAAAGAGTATGGCATCTCTAAGGTTCATTCCCTTATCATCCTACCTTTAAAACACATTTTTTTCAGCAAACTATTCGAATAAGTTGAAAACTTCTCGAATAAATCCTTGAAATTCTAATCTGACTTAGTTGAATAAATCCAGAACTAGTTGAATAAGTCAGATTGCAGTTTCACCAAAATTAGTCGACTAAGTCTTGACTTAGTCGAATAGTTCGGCAGTTTCAACTCTTAAACGGCCATTTTTTTCAAATCTTTGGGTAGTTACTCCATCCTATCCTTATTTAAACTACCCTATCTCGTGTTTTTGGCCAAGAATATACATTGAAAACACTTCAAAAACATATCCTTTGAATATCCAAAGAGATTCTACTCAATCCCCTCCTTATATCCAAGCAAGGCAATTGTTTTGATTGCTAAATCATTTCTTGCTTGAGTTTTTCCTCATTGCTTGAGTCTTTGAGAGATATTGCCATATTCTAAAGGACTTCATTGTATTTGCAACAATCTACTCCGTGTTGGGAGAATTACTCGGTTGC